GATCAAACTGCTCGACCAGGGTGGCCGTCTGGTGTCCCTTCTTCCCCCGGCCTCCGATCAAAGTCCTCATGGCCTCTATAGCGGACTGCGCCATCCCAACGCTTGCCAGCCCATCGTCCCCTCCCAGCGACTCAGGGATGGTGCCGCGCGGCTTGCAGAGCCCGCCCTTTCTGCCGATGTTGCAATCGTGGACCTGCCTGGACTCATACCAATACACAGTGCAGGTATCCCTGACCACATCGATGGACGATATGATCCCTGGCTTGCCCGCGCCGCCGTCCACGTCACCTTGTGACCACTCCTTGGGGTTGCGGACGACCAGCAAATTGACCTGTGCGTTTTCTTGGTCACAAGCAGGCCCGGCTTCAGCGTCGGCAAAGCTTCCCGCACGGCCTTCACGTGATTCATCATGTTTTCCGCAGCGGGCCTCCGACTCCCTTTACTGTCCTTGCTGCGGGCTCTGGACGTCACCCCTGCATCGCCTGCATTGTTCTTGGGGTCGTCGTGCTGGTGGGATATCTCAGGTTCTGCTGGGCAAGTCGACGGCGTTTCTTGTATCCCATCCTGGCTTCCCCCTATTGGATGCACGCAAATCCTGAATTTTGATTGCGTGCGTGAACCTCGCAGATTGCTTAAGAACGTCATCGGACTCTTGCCAAATTTGCCGCGGTAGCCGCAAAGGCGTAGCACAGAAGAAGAACTCGCCCAGGCTCTTCAGAGTGCAGATATGCGCCCTGATGCCCCAATCGCAGCTTGAGTCAAAATGGCTACGGAGGCGTCTCGGAACGGTCTTGGGGCTCTCTCGGTGCGTCTTGGAGGCTTCTTTGGCGGTCTTGGAGCGCTTTCGGGTGGTCCCGGAGCCTCGGGGGCCTCCGAGAGACCTGCCCTTGGAAGGGGGGGGGCAGAATATACAAAGGAGGTCCTGGCCCCGGGGGGGGGCCCAGGCTGGGACCTTCCATCTGTGAGTGATGTGAGCACACACGCATACATACACATATACACATACACATACACATACATATACAAACATATATACATAAACATATACATTTACATATACATTTGCATAAACATCTACAGATGCATACACACATACATATACACATACACATACACATACATATACATATACCTATGCATATACACATACATACACATACACCTATAGATATACATCTACATATACATACACATATACATATACACATACATAAACATATACATATACACATACATATACATACGCATGTATACATACATATACATATACATATACAGTTACATTTCCGTATACATATACACATACACATACATATACATATACACATGCATTTCCATATGCATATACATATACATATACATATCCATATACATATACATATATACATATAACCATATATTCATAGACGTACACATACACATATACATGCACATCTACAAATATATCTACATATACATGTATATATACATATATATACAGGTCTCCGCAAGCATCATGAAGCCTCCTTTCCTCCTGGAAGATGGCAAGAGGAAAGGGGCAGCTCAGGCAGGTGCGCCAGCTGTGGAGGCGGAGGTTTCGGAGTGGGTTGCTTCGTGCATTGGAGACGCAGGGTGTCGAAAACTGGGCGTTGCGCTGTAGACGGAGGGGGTAAAGTAGAAGGCTATGTTCAAGTCCAGCTTGGGGGGGGAGCCTGCCGAATATTGGGCATTGCGTTGGAGACGAAGGCTGTGGAGTACTGCGTGTTGTGCTGTAGACTCAGGGTCTTGAGCAGAAGGTTATTTTCAAGTTCAGCTTTGGAAAAGAGCCTGTTGCGTATGTGGTGTTGTGTTGGAGACAGGGGCTGTTCAGTACTAGGTGCTGTGTTGTAGACGGAAGGAACAAGGTAGAAGGCTATACTAATGTTCAGCTTGGGGAGGGAGCCGGTTGAGTAATTTGTGTTGTGTTGGAGACGCAGGCTGCTGAGCACTTGTTGTTGTTGTTGTAGACGGAGAGGGTCGAGTAGAAGGCTCTGTTCAAGTTCAGCTTGGAGAGGGATGAAGGGGCCCTGGGACACACAAATAAATACACACAAATAAAAGGTTCCCCCGTATTTTCCAATATTTTCTGGGTTTCTGTCTTCCCCCCCACTTCCCATGTTTTCCCATATCTTCTGGGGAATCGAGGATTATTTGTGTCTGTGTGTTTCTTTTCCTCCTGAAGGGAGCCTGTTCAGAAGTAGGTGTTGTGTTGGAGACGGGGGCTGTTGGGTATTGGGTGCTGTGTTGTAGACGGAGGGGAGAGGGTAGAAGGTTATTGTCAAGAGTTCGGCGTGCGGAGGGAGCCTGCTGAGTACTTGGTGTTGCGTTGGGGACGGAAGCTTCTTAGCACTGTCTGCTGTGCTGTAGGCAGAATGCGTGGAATAGAATGTTTCCTCCTCCTCCTCCTCCTCCTCCTTCCTCCTCCTCCTCCTCCTGCTCCTCCTCCTCCTCCTCCTCACCCCCCCCCCCCCCCGGGAGGGAGCCTGTTGAGACTTGGACGGTGTGTCGGAGACGGAGACTGCTGAGCACTGAGTGTTGTGTTGTGGACGGAAGGGGGGTAGAGTAGAAGGTTGCTGTCAAGATCGGCTTGGGGAGGGAGCCTGTTCAGCAGTGGTTCTTGCGTGGAGGGCGAAGGCTAGTTAGTACTGGGTGTTGTGTTGTAGACGGAGGGGGAGAGTAGAAGGTTACAGTCAAGATCAGAATGTGGAGGGAGCCTGTTGAGTTTTGGTGCTGTGTTGGAGACGGAGGCTGTTGAGTACTGAGTGTTGTGTTGTAGACGGAGGGGGTGGAGTACAATATTCGTTTCAAGTTAAGCTTGGGGAGGGAGCCTGTTGGGAATTGGATGGTGTTTTGGAGACAGAGGTTGTTGAGTACTGGGTGTTGCGCTGTAGACTTAGGGGGAAGGGTAGAAAATTATGCTCAAGTTCAGACTGGGGAGGGAGCCTTTTGAGCATGCGGTGTTGTGTTGGAGACGGAGGCTGTGGAGTACTGCAAAGAACGAACATCGCTCCGAACTTGAGGCCGGAAAACCTTACAAAACAGAGATCTCAAACTTGAATGTGCAACCCCTAAGGCTCATAGAAGGATTCATGTATAACATGGCACAACGGGGGTTTCATGGTGTGTGCGGAAGGCTGTATGTATGTATGCAGGCATGCATGTATCGGAGGTGAGTGGGTGAGATCGAAGTGGAACGGAGAGCCCCCCTACCGGGAAATCGGTTTCGGTTTCGTGTTCGTGCGTGCCGTGCGTGCGGGCGAGGCGAAGCTGCGTGGGCGGGCGAGAAATAAGTCTCCTGTAGCTGAGGCGCGGCCGATCCAAAAGTTTCCGTTCCGGCAACCAGTGCCCCGCGGTGTCCCGCCAGTGTCCCGCTCGGGGGCCGGTGGCGCGCGGTGTCCCGCCGGTGTCCCGCCGGTTTCCCGCCGGTTTCACGTCTGTGTCCCGATGATGATGATGATGATGATGATGATGATGATGATGATGATGATGATGATGATGATGATGATGATGATGATGATGATGATGATGTTGAAGATGTTGACGATGATGATGATAATAGTAATGGTGATGATGATGGTGTCCCGATGATGATGGTGATGATGTTGACGATGTTGATGGTGATGGTGGTGATGATGATGGTGCCCAGATGATGATGATGTTGGTGATGATGATGTTGCTGACGATGATGATGGTGCCCCGACGATGATGACGATGTTGATGACCCTGATGATGTTGATGATGATCAAATGGTTTGAAGATGATGATGAAGCTGATGATGATAATAGTGTCCCGATGATGATGGTGATGAGGTTGATGATGATGCTGTTGATGATGATGGTGATGAAGGTGTCCCGATGATGATCATAATGATGATGATGACGATGATGGTGTTCCGATGATGATGATGTTGATGATGAGGATGATGATGAGGTGGTGATGTTGATTTTGATGATGGTGGCCCAATGATTGTGATGATGATGCTGATGTTGATGATGATGGTGTCCCGATGATGTTGATGATGGTGATGATGATGGTGACGATGATGATGGTGCTACGATGATGATGATGTTCATGTTGCTGATTTTGCTAATGGTGATGATGATGGTGTCCCGATGATGGTGATGAAAATGATGTTGTGCATCATCATGATGATGAGATGATGATGATGATGGTGGTGTTCCGATTATGATGATGGTGTCCCTATGATGATGATGTTGATGGTGATGATGGTGACGATGATGGTGTCCCGATCATGATGATGGTGATGATGTTGATGGTGCTGGTGATGAGGTGATGATGATGGTGTCCCGATGATGATGCTGCTGATGATGATGATTTTGATGACGTTGATGACGAGGATGCTGATGATGATGATGATGATGATGATGATGATGACGTTGATTGTGATATCGATGGTGATATCGATAGTGCGATCGATAGTTAGACCGAATGTGAGATCGATTGTCAGATCGATCGTGAGATCGGTAGTAAGATCGACTGTGAGATCGATCGTCAGATCAATTGTGAGATCGATCGAATGAAATAGATCGAGTGGGATCGATTGTGAGATCGATCGAGTGAGATCGATCGAGCGAGACCGATAGTGAGATCGATAGTGATATCGATAATGAAACCGATCGAGTGAGACGTTGGTTTCTCCCCCCCCCCCGAACCTCCTTATCACCCGAAGGGTGGTCGTATAGATATATATGTCTATATGTACGTATGTATGTCCATATGTATGTCTGCCTGCCTGTCTGTTTGTCTGTCTGTCTGTCTGTATGTTTGTATGTATGTGTGTGTGTGTCTGTAAGTATGTATCTGTGTTTGTTTGCTTGTGTGTATGTATGTATGTACGTACGTATGTATGTATGGGTTTCTACACATAGATGTATTTCGCCTGTGGGAAGGACGTGTGAAGATAATCAGGCGACACCTTGAGTAGTTGCAGCCACCAGGCCGCTTGGGCACTGCAATTTGATGACGTGTCCTGATGGCGCTATGACATGTTTACGTTGCAGCATGCATCAGGCGCCCTCCTCCGGCAGCTGGCGCATCCGAACAGCACCAAAGGGCGCATGCCCCGCCGGCTCCCCTCGAGGAGGCATAAGTTGGCCAAGGTGCGCAGAGGAACGGGTAGCAACTTGCGTAATTACAACAGCCAGGCCGCGGGGGTAGTGCTACTGACGTGCCCCGACGGCGCCGTGAATCATGCGCACACAAGGCGAACAAAAACTATGGCGCCCTCCGCCAGCAGCTGGCAAATCGAAACGGCACCAAACATGGCCAGCCGGCTCCACCCGAGAGGGACAACATTTTTCGGTTGGGAGGGAAACTCCTGGGTTTAGGAGGTCTCTAGTTGGCACGGTCTGGAGCTGCTGGGCGCGGAATAAGACGACGAAGTATTCCGGGGATCCAGTTAGACGAAGCTGGATTAAGCTGGACTCAACCGTTCAGGTTGGACGAAACTGGAGTCGTCGGGAATCGCATCAAGGAAATACCCCAGCCGAGAACTGACTCAACCTCTGAGACATTTCATCCTGCAGGGGAGACACAGGATGACGAGAAAGGGGCGCCTACGTGTATCCCACGGACGTGGCGGCAGCCGAAGGCGCCCGGGCCACTCTGGCGTTCCGAGGGCTCCGCCAGCTCCACTGGGAGAAGTGGGCTGAGGAGGGAGGGGGACTTTCGGACGTTTTTGGGCCGTCTCGGGCCTTCGGGAGCATTGGCTGGATTTCGCCAGAACCCTGGCAGGAGAAGAGAGGCCCTAAGAGGCAACAGGAGGCACCAAGAGGCAACAGGAGGCCCCAAGAAGCTCCAGGAAACACTCAGAGGCCTCGTGTGGCCGCAAGAGTGGTTCCAATTTATATGTGATTAGGTCGGTTTCTATGCATTGGGCTTCTGGCTTCTCATGGGTCGCGAACCCTTCCTGTTGTACGCATGCTCCTATAGATCGCTTTCTCCTGTGTCTCTGATCCTAAATGTTTTCCTGTGCTCCTGTTGATTGGGCCCCTCCTGGGGCACGAATCCTTGCTGCTTTACGCATGTTCCTATGTATTGCCAGTATTGCCGCTCCCTGTGGCTCCCATCCGTTATATATATATATATATGTATACACTTTTTGGTTTTTGCTTTTTTATTTTCAAATGCTTTAATATGTGTACTGCAGATCGGGCATTCCCTGTGACACGAATCGTCCCCAGGAGGCTACAGGAGGCCCCAGGAGGCATCAGGAAGCCACATCGGGTCTAGGAAGCACCAGGAGGCACCAGGAGCCCCCAAGAAATTCCAGGCAGCCCCAGGAAGCTTCATTCTCTTCTGGCTCTACCCCTCCATGCTTTCCGCTTGTTCCTATTGATTGGGCCTCTCCTGGGGCGCGAGTCCTTGGTGTTTGACGTATCTAAGGGGTGGCTCCAGTCCTAGATGTTTCACGTCTGTTCCTGTAGATCGAGCATCTCCTCGGGCACGAAGCCACACCAGAAGGACACAAGAGGCCACAGGATGGATCAGCAGGCACCAATGTGCACAAGGAGGCCAAAGGAGCTGCTCTCCCCCGCTCGCGCACAGGTTGCGGGGATGTCTCGAGCGGTGTGCCTGTTTACCGCCCCAGCTTCCCCTGCTTTCGGAGCAGATCTTGAGGACGAGGCACTGGCGTTCGCACCCAATGGGGGGCTATATTGAGAGGATGCCTCAAGCGGCTTGCCAATCTTTGTGGCCAGGCTCGTCTGCGCTCAAAGCAGATTCCGAAGATGACTCGGGCGAGGCGCGTGTTTCAGCGCCCCGGACGGGGGGCCGCTGGGGGGCATTGCACTCCTCCGCTCGCGCCCAGATTGCGCCCAGATTTGTTTGACCCTCCAACATCCTCCGCTTTCGGAGCAGATGTTGGGGATGCTTCGGGCGAGGCGCTGGCTTTCGAGTCCCGAGGGGCCCAGCTTGCGAGGATGCCTGGAGCGGCTTCCCCGTTCTCGTGGCCAGGCGCGCCTGCGTTCAGGCCGAGTCATGTGTGTTGTAAGTATGCCCTCCCCTGGTGCCCGCCTCGTGCGCGCTCCATGCGCTGGGAGGAGGATGAGGAGGAGGAGGAGGACGAGGAGGAGGAGGAGGAGGAGGGGAGGAGGAGGAGGAGGGGAGGAGGAGGAGGAGGAGGAGGAGGAGGGGGAAGGAGGAGGGGAGGAGGAGGAGGGAGGAGGGAGGAGGGAGGAGGGAGGAGTGCCCCTCGCCTGTGGCCTCAACCACCTGTGCTGTGCATGTGTTCCCAGAACTTGGGCCTCCACTGGGACACGCACCCTTAGTGTTTTTATATATCGCTCGTGCTTGCGCTCCACAATGAGTCAAACAGACTATTGAGCAGCAGGCTTGTGCGTTGAGAGGAAGAGTGCCCTTGCAGCACGGGCACTATCCACAGCCACCTCTGGGAGTGTCCACTTCCCTGGCGGCAGTTTCGACTGAATGTTGTACAAATGAAAAGCAATGATGGTGCGTTCACACATATATATATATATATATATATGTGCCCCTTATCCGGTGGCTCCGATCCTACTTTTTCTACGTGTGTTCATATCGATGGGGGGCATCCCCTGGGGCACGAAATCCTCTCCAGCGAGCACCAGGAGGCTTCAGAAGGCACCGGGAGGCCCCAAGAGGTTCCAGGAGGCCCCAGGAGGCCTCGGGAGGCCCCAGGAAGCACCTGGAGGCCCCGGGAGGCTCCAGGAAACCCCAGGGGGCCCCAGAAGGCCACAGGAGTGGCTCCAACCCTGCGTGTTTTAGTATGTTCATATACATGTATACATATGTACATACATATCCATACATACATACACCCATCCATCCATCCATCCATCCATCCATCCATCCATCCATACATACATACATACATACACACATACATGCATACAGATATGCATATGTGTAAATTGGGCTGCTTATGGAGCACGAGTCCTCTATGATTTACATATGGTCCCATCGGTTGCTCTTATCCTGCGGTTCTAACCCTATGTGTGTGTGTTTACTTGTGTTCCTACATGTTGGCCCTCCCCTGGGGCGCGAATCCTTTGTGCTTGTGTTTACGCATGTTCCTCGATTTTGCCACTCTCCTGTGGCTCCAAGCATATGTGGTTTACGTATGTTCATATAGGTCGGGCATCTCTTGGGGCACGAATCCTCCACAGGAGGCTCCAGGAGGCTTCAGGAGGCACCAGAACGCCTCAGGCGGCCCCAGGAGGCCCCAGGAGGCTTCAGAAGGCAGCAGGAAGCCCCAAGAAGTTCCAGGAGGCCCCAGGAGGCCTCAGGAGGCTCCAGGAGGCCCCAGGAGGCTCCAGGAGTCCCCAGGAGGCCCCAGGAGGCGCCAGGAGGCCCCAAGATGCTCCAGGAAGCGCCAGGAGGTCCCAGGAGGCCCTAGGAGGCCACTGGAAAGGTTCCAATACTAAGCGTTTTACTTCTGTTCATATAGTTTGGGCCTTTCCTGGGGCACGACTTCCCTGTGGCTTCTGCCTCTCTCCTGCGGCTCCAATCCTATGTGTTTAACATGTGTTCCTATAGATTGGGCCTCTCCTGGGGCGCGAATCCTTTATGTTGTATGCATGTTCCTATCGATTGCCCCTCTCCAGTGGCTCCAGTGGCTCCAGTATTAAGTGTTATACTCATGTTCCTATCGATTGGGCCTCTCCTAGAACACGAACCCTTTGTGCTCCTATAGATTGCCCCTCTCCTGTGGCTCCAGTCCTAGGTGTTCTACGTATGCTCCTACAGGTTGGGCCTCTCCTCTCAGTGGCGTTGCTGGGTGTATCACGGTCCAACCACAGCGTGAGATTTTCTGGGCCAGCCAACGCCGCGCAAGGGTTTCGCACGGCGTTTCATGAGTACCCTACTCCTTGCTTCATCATGGAGGGAGGGATCGCGTGGTCATTTCGACTCAGTCACGCTCAGTCATGCTTAGGCCACTAACGTGCATATACAATCATCCTAAGCTTAGACGTATTCAGACTCATGCGCGTATACTCACTTGTACTACTGAGACACATTCACACTCCAACTCATTCACAGTTAGACTCAACCCCAGTCTGTCAATACTCAAGCCCCTTCATATTCGAAGTCTCTTGCGCCTAGACACTCACGACGGAAAGGTCCATGCAAATAGATGCACATATGGGGAGCTCGACGCAGTAAATCATTCGTTTGTCTTGGACGTTTTGTCTTTTGCTCGATGCAGGAGCCATTCATGTTCATTCATTCGCGATACCGCCCATTACCAGCCCCACCGCCGCGGACCTCCGGATGACGTCACGATTCGCACCGCACCGGCACCAGCACCGGCATTGGCACCGTCTTGGATCCTGCAGTGACCCTGAGTTCCGACGGCGCGAAAACATTGAGGCATCGCGAGAAACCACCTCGGGAGCCCTAGACCCCATCGATCTGCGAGGGTCCCGGGGTCCGAGAAAAAGCAACAACGCCCGCCTCGAAAAAATCGAGACGACAGGATCTCAGGGGAAGTCGACGGACGGCTCGCTCGCTTCGCTAGTATCGGCCCGAACGCAGAGGAAGCCGTGCGCAAGAGCCCCTCCCGTGCGTGAGCAGGACCAGCACCGCCTGCACATGGGCCACTCCTGCCGGCGGGCTGCTGAGATAAGAAGCGATACAAGACGAGACCCCTTCGTCCGAGTCGACCCGTGAAAGCCGCGGGAACGGCCGTGGAATCCGAAGGAGCACCGCAGGAGGCCCGCCGCAAAAGGGAAGCCACGGGACGCGCGCAGGCCCGAGTGACCGGAGAGAGAGCCCCTCTCCGACCTCGTGCTGGACCTTCCTGCCACGAGCCGACTGCAGGCGCTCCGAGACGACGCCGAAGCGCATCGTGACGCGACGGGCCCTGGCTTCCATGAAGGGGCCCTGGGACACACAAATAAATAGACACACATAAAAATATACACCATATTTCCCAACCATCCTGTGGTGTTGGGTCCTCATTTTGAACAGACGGTGGCCCGCGTCTCCTCCTCTCCTCCTCCCCCTCTTTCCTCTTCCCTCCTCCCACCATCATCATCGTCATCATCATCGTCGTCATCACCCATTTCGGCACACCCCTCACACGTTTCGTGGCCCCAAAGGTCCCAGTGGGTGTGCCCGCATGCGTCCCGCACACCCATTTCGGCACACCCCTCACACGTTTCGTGGCCCTATAGGGAGCTCCGCCGAAGGTCCCAGTGGGTGTGCCCGCATGCGTCCCGCACACCCATGTCGGCACACCCCTCACACGTTTCGTGGCCCCATAGGGAGCTCCACCGGAGGTCCCAATGGGCGTACCCGCATGCGTCCCGCACACCCACTTCGGCAC